TTTAAAAAAATTATTTCAAAATAATGTAGTTTTAATCAACTCTCATTAAAAAATTAAAGTTTAAATTTAAAACACACCACCTTTCAATCAATATGAATATACTTATATTTTTTAATATACATTTAATAATTTTAAATTTTATATAATTATTAAAATTAATTAAATATATTCAACCAATTTAAATTACTAAGATATTTTCCGCCTTCTTAGAAAGACGACCAAGCCTACAAGAATAAGGCAAGTCAACAAACCAATAAGAGCTTGCGGCCACTAGCCAGTCAATAACGAGTTTTCGGCCCTCTCTCACCTTGCCACCAATATATAATACAACTCTGTCTCTTTATTTAAAAAGCAAAAACACAACATTCAGGGCAAACAATTATGCAGATGAAATTGTTGTTGTGGATGGTGGTGATGATGGTCATATTGCCATCTTCTACCGTTACAGCAAGTTCAAATATTTCTTTAGAAACCTGCCCACAAACATGTGGAAACGTTAGCGTTCCTTTCCCTTTTGGATTTGGCCGTCCTGAATGCGCCAAAAACTCAACCTTCCTGCTTACATGCAACCAGAGCGGCAGCCTTTTGTATGGCGACATTCCAATTGACAACATATCATTGGAAGACGGCACCATCACCGGACTCATTTACCCTGCCTACGAATGCTACGACCAGAACGGTTTAAAGAATGGGACTGATCGGCTTATCTGGCTCAGCAGACCGTCTCTCATCATATCCCCCATCCACAACAAGTTTATTGGCTTGGGCTGCGACACGATTGCCAAAATGACCGACAGAGAAGGAAGGTCTGGAAGTGGGTGCATCACCTTCTGCAATAACCCTGCCGACATCAGGAAAGACAGTTCTTGCTCCGGGTTCGGATGCTGCCAGACCTCCATCCCCGAGCACCTCGACCAAGTGAACTTTACGGTTACCAGTTCTTCTAATCACACAGATGTTTTGGATTTCAACCCCTGCAGTTATGCTTTTATTGTTGCAAATTCCTTCGATATATCGAAATTAGACTTCCTTGGTCCCCAAGAAACCTTTCCATCGTGGCTACCCGTGGTGTTTGAATGGGTGATCGGAGATAACCGGGGCTGCCAAGATTATTGCGGCCCTAATGCTAAATGCTCTTACGCCGATACTGTTGGTGGATTTCGTTGTTGGTGCAAGCCAGGGTTCATCGGAAATCCCTACCTCCCACTAGGATGTCAAGGTACTTCATATTTACAATTAATGTTTTTTTATGCATATGCTCTCAATTTAATTTAGTGCATATAGTATTTTTTAATAAAATAAAAATAAAATAATTT